ACTCCTGGGATCAAGCCAGTCTCCCACCTCAGCCTCCCAAGTAACTAGATTACACGTGCACACCACTACACCTGGCTTAGAATTAGTGAATATTAAGAGATTCCTAATCTTTGGAGAGTCTCATTGAGTTGATTCTCATCCAGGGCACTTCTAGTATTTAAGAAGCTCCATAGTTTTTTCTAACGAACAGCCAGATCTGGTAAATAATTCAGAAATCAGCATCAGATCAACAGCATCCCCAAAGATAAAATAGAGTCAATATATAACACTGTTAGCTAGAATTAGTAATCTCTCACCATAAAGTGCAGTAAACTAAAGGAAGCCTCAGAAATGATGGAACATTTTCTCTTAAATTGAGTTGAAGTTTTAGAGAACAAATAAAAGGAATCGCATATGTTTCCTAAAATCTAAAGATTTCATTAAGTATATATACTCCTGGTTTTACTTAATTTTCCCACTGAAAATTTCCAACTTCGATGGTTTGGAAAATAGAAAGCAATCTCATTGCAATTCAGCTAAAAATAAGCTTTGGGAAGAAAAATAATTATATATAAAAAAACATTCTCATATAACAGCTTAGTATATACATATTTTTTATATGACTGACCTTACAATTCAGTACTAAGTACCCTAATGGAGGTTTATACAAAATATTCAGGAAACTCTAAGGAAGCATCTACCATGCTGCAGGTGGAAAAATGTAGCTGACACTGGTAAACTGGAGGTAGAAATGGAAAATAAAGACTATTATCAAGAAAGATCTGAACTCTTTTAGAATTGGGAAGTTTTTTCCTTATCCTAAATGGGGTCAGCTCCCAGAGATAATGGGCATTATGTTGAGCAGGTGGGGAAGAGTAGCTAAGTAAGAGCCAAAAGGTACCCATGAAGTATCCCAGTGAGGATTTGGGAGTGAGCACCAAAGGGAGAAGAAGAATGACTGGGAAACAAGAGAAAATGGCATATAGGCAGAAAGAAGTACAGACTGTCACCAATATCCACTTCATTTTTTTTTTGCCTGGGGTTGGCCCTGCTCCCTTCTCTGAAACGAGATGTAAAAAGCTGATTTATGATCTCCTGCTTTATCACCCCACTTTGGAAATACTGAGGTAGAAGTGGAGGACTCGTCATATTTACTAACTGGAATCATACCTTCCTACTCGCTAAAGGTTCCAATTCTTGAGAATACTGAGATGACCACTCCAGGATGTATTCGGAACCCTGTTTCACGTAAGAAACCTCTTCCATAGTCAGGCACTTACCTTGAAATCCTGTGCAGTCTGGATATTGTTTATCAATGACTTCTTGCTAAAACCAGTGTGCTTTTCTTAGCTTCTTAATCTCTTCTGGACTACACTCACTTTATTGTTTTTGAGACAGAGTCTCGCTGTGTTGCCCAGGCTGGAGTGCAGTGGCGTGGTCTCAGCTCACTGCAACCTCTGACCCCTAAATTCAAGTGATTCTCGTGCCTCAGCCTCCTGAGTAGCTGGGATTACAGACACCCGCCACCAAACCCAGGTCATTTTTGTATTTTTAGGAGAGGCGGGGTTTCCCCATTAGCTAGGCTGGTCTCAAACTCCTGACCTCAAGTAATCCAGCCTCCCAGTGTTGGGATTACACGCGTGAGTCACTGTGCCCAGCCCACACTCACTTTAGAACTATCTTTTTTTGCTTCATGTGATGGCACATGTTTTTCTCTTCTTCTGTATTTTTACTTAGGATTAACATTTTAAAAATCAAATAATGCAAGTATAAAATATAGTCTCGTTCTATACCCTCTTTCTTGGTCTATAAAGTGACTACTGGGTTAAATTCAGTATAGACCCTTTCCAAATTAAAAAAAAAATTAAAAATTTAATGAGATCACATATGTTATTGTTTTGCACCATTTTTCATTGCCTATACCTTACAACTCTTTCCATGTAGATTAAGGTACACAGATCTGCATTTCTACCACTGTGTAGTATTTTGTATGATGACTGCAGCATAATTTAGCTATTCTTTTACTGATAGATATTAAAATTTCTAATTATTCACAATTACAAAGTTTTATGGTGACTACCATACTACATACATCTGAGCAAGTTATTTTGAAGATCTCACAACCAGTTGGTTCATGGGCAATGTGAATTTGAAATTTTACCATGGTTAGAGCTGTTAGGGTTATGCTAGCTTCAGAGTTGGGAAGTACTCCATCTTTCTCTATGCTTTGTTCCTGGTGACACTTATTGGGGACTGATTATGACATTAATAATTACCAATTTATTAAAGTTTTTTGACTCTTGAGCCAGTATTTTGAAACTCGTATTTTCCAAGAAAATTAGCCAAGTGAATTTTCTTTTTTTTGAGATGGAGCCTTGCTCTGTCACCCAGACTGGAGTGTGGTGGCATGATCTCTGCTCACTGCAACCTCTGTCTCCTGGGTTCAAGTGATTCTCCTGCCTCAGCCTCCTGAGTAGCTGGGATTACAGGTGCCTGCCCCCATGCCCAGCTAATTTTTATATTTTTAGTAGAGATGGGTTTTCACCATGTTGGCCAGGCAGGTCTCCAACTCCTGACCTCAAGTGATCCACCCACCTCAGCCTCCCAAAATGCTGGGATTATAGGCGTGAGCCACCACGCCCAGCCGAATTTTCAAGATTAGTAAAGGCTGAACATTCTTAATCTGAAAATCCAAACTCCTAAATGCTCCAAAGTCTGAAACTTTTTGAGCACTGCCATGATGCAACAAGTAGAAAATTCCACACATAAATACTTAACGTAAACTTTGTTTTATGTACCAGATTATTTAAAATGCTGTATAAAATTACCTTCAGGCTTTGTGTATAAGGTGTACATAAAACAAATGAATTTCATGTTTTGTCTTGGGTCCCATACCAGAGACATCTCATTATGTATATGCAAACATTCCAAAATCCAAAATCTGGAACACTCTGGTCCTAAGCATTTTGGGTAAGTGGTGCTCAATGTGTATGTTACACAAAATAATTTGCTTCTGATTTTCAAAGTCTCCTTCATATCTGTACTATGTCCTTCGCCCTTACTTTTTTATTTTTGAGACGGATTCTCGCTCTGTTGCCAAGCTGGAGTGCAGTGGTGCGATCTCAGCTTACTGCAACCTCTGCCTCCTGGGTTGAAGTGATTCTCCTGCCTCAGCCTCCAGAGTAACTGGGACTACAGGTGCCTGCCACCACCCCAGCTAATTTTTGTATTTTTAGTAGAGATGGGGTTTCACCATGTTGGCCAGGATGGTCTCGATCTCCTGACCTCATGATCTGTCTGCCTTGGTCTCCCAAAGTGCTGGGATTACAGGCGTGAGCCACCATGCCCGGCCTGTTTCTTTTTTTTCTGAGACAGTGTCTAGCTCTGCTGACCAGGCTGGAGTGCAGTGGTGCAATCACGGCTCACGGCAGCCTCAACCTCCTGGGCTCAAGTCATCCTCCCTCCATGGGCTCCTTTGTTTCCAGTATCATTTTCTTTCCTTTTCTTCCTCAGATTTGTTGAGTATCTATTTATTGTTCTTTTCAAACACCAGTTAATTACCAACATCAATTTTATTTTCTATTTCATTAACTTCTGCTTTTATTATTTTTGAGACAGAGTCTTGCTCTGTCACCCAGACTGGAGTGCAATGGCACAATCTTGGCTCACTGCAACCTCTGCCTCTTGGGTTCAAGTAATTCTCCTGCCTTAGCCTCCCAAGTAACCGGAATTACAGGTGCACGCCACCACACCCGGCTAATTTTTTTATTTCTAGTAGAAATGGAGTTTCACCATGTTGGTGAGGCTGGTCTCGAACTCCTGACCTCAAGTGATTCACCTGCCTCAGCCTCCCAAAGTGCTGGGCGTGAGCCACTGCACCTGAACTCTGCTTTTATTTTTAATTCCTTCTACTTTTATTTTGGGAGATTGTACTTTTTCTGCTTCTCTGTTACCTGTTTCTGTTTCCTCTTCTAATCCTTCCTGTTATGTGTGTATCCTTTAAGGATTTGTGACATGCTGTCTCATTTCCTCAGTAAATTTATCTACTACATATTGTATAGTGAAAAAAATAAAACCTTTACCATTACTATGTAAGTGGCTATAAACACTATTAATTTGGAGTCATAGTGGGTTCTAATTCCTCAACTCCTACTTGTGTGATCTTGGTCAAATCTGAGCTGTTTCTTCGTCTGTAAAAATAAAAATAACAATACACATTAGGTTGGGTATTATTTGCAAATCATGTATCACAGAAACTGGCCCACATGAGTAACTCGATAAATGCCTGGTATGCAAAAGGCCTCAGCTGACCCATTTCTTGTTTTGTTTTTTCCTTTGAGGCAGAGTTTTGCTCTTGTCACCCAGGCTGGAGGGCAATTGTGCGATCTCAGCCCACTGCAACCTCCCCCTCTCAGGTTCAAGCGATTCTCCTGCTTCAGCCTCCCTAGCAGCTGGGATTACAGGCTCCTTCTACCACGACTGGCTAATTTTTGTATTTTTAGTAGTTTCACCATGTTGGCTAGGCTGGTCTCAAATCCCTGACTTCAGGTGATCCGCCCGCCTTCGCTTCCCAAAGTGCTAGAATTACAGGCCACCATGCCCGACCCAGTTGCCCCATTTCTAAAAGTGAGGGGATTAGGACAACTAATCCCAAATTCACTTCCAACAGTGAAAAACTTTATCTTCAGCCTATTAGTTCACCTGCCTGACAGTCAACTGATCAACCCACCCACTCACCCACACAACAGTGACTAAGCCCTTCTCTTAAATGAAATATTCTAGATGTCAGAAATGCCAAGATTTTAAGATACAATCCCTACCTTCCAGAAGCTCAGGGTCCTTGAGGGTTGAGGAAAAATTGTTAAACAGATAATTATAATACAACGGGATAAGTGATCTAATAAAAGGTTGTGGGAATTCAGAGACTTTGAGGTGCTCCTGCAGCAAAATCCAAGACCTATGTTGGAATCCTAAGTCAGGTATTTAATACTTACTACTGAAGGGGGAATTAATGAATTTTATAATTATGTTAGTCAAGAAGTTTATTCTTTTCCTTAGAGGTAGAATGTAATATAGCCCCCTGGTCTGGAGGCCTGGGTTAGGAAAGAATATTAACTGCTTATTTCTTCTCTATGCACGGAGAGGCTTATCTGTGTTCCATGGTTTCACATTCCTTGAGGCACGGCGAGGTCTTGCTTCCCTCCCCAGCGCGGCTGTAAAGTCACAAGGTTGATAAGCAATTACTACAAAAGCCATGTATTCCCAAGGATATAAGACATGTGCTGTAACAAATGTAAAAGAGTAATTATCTGCCTTTGTTCTTGCTTCTGCAAGCAGGCTTCCTGCAGCACGAAACTCCCCCCACAAACTGCTTAAAAGGTAACTGATCCCTTTGTTCCGGACTCAGTCTTTCTGGACCCTAGTCCGACTGAGCCAGTGATCACCTTAATAATAAAGAGCTCTCCTGAACTCTGTTCGGCCTCTCCCGTCTCTCATTTGTCCCGCAACACTAGCAGTGTATCCTCAGGCAATTTACTTTTTTGTTCCTTGTTTCTCTCTCTGTAAAAAGGAAGAGGAATACTTATTTTGGCAGGTTATAAGAATTGAGTCAAACTCATTTATGTTAGTATAAAAAAATGAACAAGAAAACTAATATAAAGCACTTAGATCAGTACCAGGCAGATCACAGGAACTCAATAAATGGAAATTAGTAATATTACAAAAGGTGATGGAAGTCAAAGACAATTTACTGTACCTCAAGAGAGTAGAGGTAGGATCAGGAGAATTCCCCAAATGTGTTCACAGACAAAAACTGGGGGAAAGGCAGGGTAGTTTCCTGGTAAGACGAACAGCACATGACAAGGCACAGAGATACTAAAAAGTATGCTATGTTTCTAGGACCAGTTCGTTATTCCAGAAGGGAGAAGGCAATAAGGGTGGAAAAACTGGGCCGAGAGGGGAATCTGGGTTGGTGATGCCTCTGGTGGGCAGATAATTCTTACTAATTTCTGTATTTTCTGCTGCTGGTACAAAACGTGACCCATATGTTTCCAACAAATGATGAAACAATTCATTCCTGTTGTTAAGCAATAGGGTTGTAGAGAAATATTTGAGCAGTAAACATGCTACAGTGAAAGGAACCCCGGATTTGGAGCCAGGAGACCTGAAGCAGTCTTTTGACTAATGACCTGTGTTTTTATAATGGTTTTACAACTTACCTGCTGCCTGGCCTTACCAACGTACCGACATATTGAGTCTCTTGACCTATAAAATAGGGGTAACATCTAACAAGCGATTATTTAAGAGTTGACGCTAGTAAAGTACTCAATAAAAACAGCGGCTGCAGCTGCTAAATTCTCCTTTAGGTCTTTTTCCATACTTGCGAAATGACAGGGTTACAAATTTCCTTCCAACCACCACTGAGAAAGTATACTAGGTTTGCTCAAGGACAAAAAGGCCCCGCCCGGTCCGCGCCACACAGGTCACCTACGCAGAATGCAGTCCTGGGAGGTTCCACTTGTGTCGCTCAGCGATGGAGGGCGCGATCGATGACAGGCCACTCCAGAGACGGACCTAGATAGGCTCGTGTGAGGCCGAGCCGAATTTTACCGAAAACCAGTACACACCACCACCCGATTTGTCCAGACGAAAAGCCAAGAAACAGCTGAGGGAAAGGAAACCGGAAATGGCGTGAGCCGTGAGGAACGGGAAATGACCTCAGCACGTCGGAAGTGTACTCGTTTCCAAGGCGACGGCCTTGCTGCCTCTCCAGCCAAGTGACTGGAGTCGGGAGGCTGGAAAGCAGCTCCGAGAAAGTACCAGCCGAAGGCGGCCGCCGCCACAGCGACTCTCAGGGAGTAGCAGACGAAGACGGCGGCCGCCGCACTAGCCACCACGTGTGGAGGATAAACGGCCTACACGGCCATTCCAGCGCCGAGTCAAGGGAAAGAGTTAGCGACGACGGGGAAAGAAAACGTGAAGAGGGTGACCGCCGCTCCAGGGTCGCTGCGGGAAGCCTAAGTGGAGACGCCGGCTTGTCCCGCAGTGACTTGAGAAGGGTCAGTGAAAACCTCGGCCACTGCCGCAGCGTCTCTGGGGAGAGAGTTAGGGGGGATAGTGGCCGCAGTCACAGAAACTCTTGGGAGAGAGTTAGGGGAGACCGCAGCTTCTGCAGCAGCGACGTGAATTTTAGTGAAGTTGGAGGCCACCAAACTGCCGACTCCAGGGGAACTACCAGAGAAGACCGAGGCCTCCGCCTAAGTGGTACTTGGGAGGGAGTCAGTGACGTCCGGGACCCGCGAACTAGTGACTTCGGGTATAGAGTCAGAGACGATCGCAGTCGCCGCCTCAGTGGCTCCTGGGAGGGAGGGAGTGTCGATGGCGGCCACAGCCTCGGTAGTTCTTGGGAGGGAGTAAGTGAAGACTGCGGCTACGCAGCCAGCGACTCCTCCGGTGTGAGCGGCAGTGAAGACGCCAGCTGCCGCCTCAGTGGCGTTTGGGAGAGAGAAAGTGAAGACGAAGGTTTCTGCTGCAGCTTCTGGGAGAGAGCAAGAGAGGACCTTGGGCCCCGTCCTAGTGACGACGGAGAAGAGGGCCGCTGCCCCTGCAGTGGCTCGTGGGTGAGAGCAAGTGAAGACCGCGGCAGCATCAGGGGCCTGGACTCAACTACTCCCCAGAGTCGGAGGTGTTGCACCATGCCCGGGGTGGCTAATTCAGGCCCCTCCACTTCCTCTAGGGAGACTGCAAACCCCTGTGAGTCAGACTATGTCGTTGGCCCTCATCTCTGCCACATTCCTTTTCTTACTTAAGCGTGCAACAGTCTTAGCCCTTTCTGGCATTTCCTTTTCTCAGGTGTCGCTCCCCGTTTCCCTTTCTAATTTGTTTTTGGAGATACCAAAGCTGTCAACTTTCCCCTGTTCTGTATTATTTCAGCTTTCTTTCCTTTTTTCCATCCACACCAGTCCTCCGGGTCTTCTTGCCCAGCTTAACATCAACTCTTGTTCAGTCTTACGGACTCTTTTAAGTTCTTCCTTGGCTTCCCTGAAGCATTTGACCCTGTGGAGACGACAAATTAGTACTTACTTAGTTTTCTTCTTTCACTCCATTGAGTGACCCTTTCCTTTGCCGTTTTCTTTTCTTCTGCCCTCTTAAATGCAGCTTTCCCCCCTTGATGATGCCATCATTGGTTCTCTTCTTCTTGTCATTTACTGTGACTTCAGTCCTACTGATGGCCCTCAAATCTGTTACTCATTCAACCATCCAGTAAATATTTACTGCGTGCCTACTTTGTGCTCTGTGTTAAGGAACTATCAGTAAAGAAGACAAGGCACATTCTTTACCTTCTAGTGAGGAAGATAAATACTGAGCAAATAATAACAAGTGAGGTGAGTGTTATAAAGGATGGTAGAATGCCACTGATTCCAGTAGGGGGTGAGTATGGGTGTCAGAAAAAACATTCTAATGCAGAGACACACGTAACACTGAGACCTGAATTCTGTATCTCTCCTCGGAGCTGCAGATGTATACATATGTCTCCCTTCTGGAAGTCTTCCTTGGGTACCTCAAGAACAGCATGTCCAAATTGTAATTTTGTATCTATATATCCTCTCTGTCCTTCAGTGTTTGCTGTCTCAACTAATGGCACCACAGCACTCAGATGACAAAGCCAGACATCTTGGAGTTATCTCACTACTTTTCTCTTATTTCACCCACTGAATCCATTCTAGTTTAGTTCATTCTAATTTTATTAATATTTGTTGAATCTGTCTGCTTTTCTTTTCCCACTGTTCAGGATCTCATTTTTTCTGGTCTAGACTATTGTAAAGTGTATTCTTACATGATCTACCTACTCTTTTTTTTTTTTTTTGAGGCATTGTCTCGCTCTGTCCCCCAGGCTGGAGTGCAGTGATGCGATCTCAGCTCACTGCAAGCTCCGCCTCCCAAGTTCACGCTATTCTCCTGCCTCAGCCTCCGGAGTAGCTGGGACAACAGGCGCCCACCACCATGCCCGGCTAATTTTTTGTATTTTTAGTAGAGACGGGTTTCACTGTGTTAGCCAGGATGGTCTCATCTCTTGACCTCATGGGATTACAGGCGTGAGCCACCGTGCCGGACCAATCAACCTACTCTCTAGTTTTGCCTTTTTGCTCCCCATTCAATAAATTCTCTTCCCTGAATTTAGCCTTGTAAACTCAGCCTTACAACTCTCAATCATTATAATTCTTCTGTTTAAAATTCCTCAGTGATTCTCCACTGTCTGCTCAAGTCCAAGTTTTTAAAAATAAGTTTCACCATTGTCTGTATCTTGTCTAGTTCTAGGCAATATTTCCCCTTAATACTTTAGTAATAGGATTTGTGTGTGTGTGTGTGTGTGTATGTGTGTGTGAGATTTCTTGACAGTTCATGCTGTTTAGAATGCCTTTCACAGCTCCCACTTTCCTTGGCAAACTCCTGTTAATCTTTGAAGATTCTATCTTAGATGTTACTTTCCCCGGGAATCCTTCTCTGTTCCCCTTCCCTCCTACCCTAGCTGAGTTTGAAGTCATCTGTGCTTCCACAAGTTCCTATGAGTATTTCCATCATTGCTTTTACCACATTATTTTGTATTTTGTGTTTGTATTTTCTCTACTAATCTGTGAGTTCCTTGAGGGTGTCTTCATCTTTTTATTCTTATGGTAGATACCAAACTTATGTTGAGTAGATGGATGGGTGGATGAGTGAATAAATTGGGATGGAATGTGGTGAGAAAAAAGTCCATAAAATTAGATGGAGCCAAATTATGGGAGGCCATAGAGGTCATACTGAGAGTCTGGGTTTTGTTTTGTAGACTAGCAGTGGCCAACCAGTAGCAGTTTAGAGTAGGGGCATGAAGTGATCCGGATAGTTGGTCTGTATAAGATGGATTAGAGGAGTGTCTGTGTAAAATAAGTAGAGTGGATAGAACATCATTTGTAGGTCTAGCTGTGCTAGTTTAAAGGAGAAGAATGAAGTTCTGGCCTAGGGATTAACATCACTGAATGTTTATTAAAGGGGTGTGTGTGTGTATGTGTCTGTGTGCACACCTTACATAAGCTCTTGTTCCCATTTGCCATATATCTTAATTGTTCCTCAAGGTCTTGCTTGAATATTTCCTCCTGTATGACTTGTTTTGTTTCTCCTTAATTTTACCTGTACTCTCTGAGGACATTGCTGTCAGGTTTTTGTTTTCTTTATGTATTTATCCAAATAGATTTTAATGTGTTGGTGGAAAAAAAAGTATTAAATCTACATCCATTTTCTATCATGTGCTTGACTCACGGTAGATGTTCAGAAAGGCTTTTTGAGTACATTTATAGCATTTTGCTAAGAGCAAAGATATAATTAGAGTATATAAAAAGATGTAATAAAAGTAAGATATAATTCCAGTGTAAAATATGATTTTTGCCCTTAAGAAATTAATATTTTGATTGTGGAGAGAGGACAGGTACATAGATAAATAGTAGTACAAGGTTGCACAGATCATTTGCCAGAAGTGTTGGTGAGCTGTTTTCAAATCAACTTCAGGTCAGGAATCATGCCTGTTTTATTTAGAGAATGCTGCAGTTGAACTGCTTACTCCTTCAGACTTCTCTAATAGCTGTCTGTTCATGCTTAGATACCTTTATTGCCTCTAGTTCACAATACTTATTAATTAAATTATAAAATATGAAGCACTAACAGTATATGAATTAAAAATTGTAGCCTGCCATTCCTTTCATAGTGTAAGATATAAATTAGAAATGTAAGAAAGATGTTGATAAAATATATCTGCATGTATGAGAGGAGGCTCTGGTGAAGTCTTTTTCACTAGGGAGGCCTTTGTTATGGAGAACACATTAGGCATATTTCAAAATGGTTACTTTCTCCTTCTCACTGCCAAATACGTGAGTTCCTGGCTTTTCACCATGGTAACCTGGTGAGGTTTGTGAAGGTAAAATCTATGAAAGTGTAGTGGCTCCCTAAGTAAGAGTGTGACCCCTAGAAGTTTCTCATTCTTTGACCAGTATGTACTCAACCTCTGGCAAGTCATCAAAATACCATGTAAGTGCTTCTATCACTTTATGACTCCAGTGCTTCTGCTCTAGGACTATATTTTTCTGTATTTGTCTCTGCAGATTTGGGGTAGCAGTTTGCCCTGAGACCTCAGTTCTCTGATGGGTCCAAGAAAAGTTGTTCATTTTCTGTTTATTCACTTTTCCCTATAAGGATGGGAATGTCAACTTCCATGCTTTTTACATGTCAGTGTTGGAACCAGGAGTCTGTTTAAGATATTAATGACAAACGTCTTTGTAGTAAATTATTTGGAAAACCAAAGTAATTTTGTGCTTTCTGTTAGATCACGGTTTTAGTCTTTTTTTTTCTTTCACAGTTTTGTAGTACATTGTAAATAATTTGATTTTTCAGTAGGTTCCAGGAAGAAGGTGCATTTTGGCAGCATACATGACGCAGTACGAGCTGGAGATGTAAAGCAGCTTTCAGAAATAGTGGAACGTGGAGCCAGCATTAATGAAGTTGATGTTCTCCATAAGTTTACCCCTTTACATTGGGCAGCACATTCTGGAAGTTTGGAGGTAAGGAACTATCCATACCACTAAACCGAGGTTAAGTTTATAGCAATAACAGTTTTGTAAATTTAGCAAACAGGGTTGAGACCTTCTGGTAGGTACTGCATATATTTTCTTTTCAGTCATAGTCATTTAATATTTGGGTATTCCACTTTGCTAGGACTTGATAACAAATTATCCCAAAATTTAGCATAATAAAATAATGATTTAGTTATACTCGTGAACAAACGTAAGAATTTGTATCCCAGAGACAGCTTGTCTCTGCTCCATGATATCTGGGGCTTCAGCTGGAATATTAAAAAGCTGGGGCTAGATTCTTCTGAAGGCTTGTTCACTCAAGATGTCTCTGGTGGTTGATGCTGGTTATGGATTAGGCACCTTAAACTTCATTCCTGTGGGCCTGTTTGTGACGACTCTACATGTGAGCTGGTTTGTACTTCCTTACAATATGGTGACTGGGTTCCAGAGGCAAGCATAGAGGATAACTTGGAGTGGATAATATAATGAATACATATTCTAACAATTTTGCTTTAGTAGCGTCAGATTTTAGAAAAGAAATAGAATGTTGCAGGTACATTTGAAGTCCCTAAGTACCCCTCTCAGGTGCCATTCCTCTGCTTCCAACTCCAGAGATAACTATTACCCTGATTTTGGTGTTTATTATTCCCATCTATGTTTTATGCTGTTATTACATATGATTATATCATTGTTTTGAATGACATTATACATTATATAAATGATACCACATTATGTGTATTATTCTTTAGCTTGCTTTTTTTGTTCAACAATATGTTTTTGAGTTTTAGCCATGTGGTTACATATATGTACTCTAGTTCATTTCCTTCAGCCATGTTGTTTTTCTATTCTTAGACTGGTATCAGAATTTATCTGTTTTTGGATTGTTGGATATTTATTTGGTTTCAATTTTTAGCTAGTACAAACTGCTTAGTGAGTATTTTAATGCAAATCTGAACATTGGGCTCCATCCTCGTAACCATGTCCTTAGATTTAATTAATTTTATTTTTTTATGTGTGCATGTGTCTTTATAGCAGCATGATTTATAATCCTTCGGGTGTATACCCAGTAATGGGATGGCTGCGTCAAATGGTATTTCTAGTTCTGGATCCTTGAGGAATTGCCACACTGTCTTCCACAATGGTTGAACTAATTTACACTCCCACCAACAGTGTAAAAGCATTCCTATTTCTCCATATCCTCTCCATTATCTGTTGTTCCCTGACTTTTTAATGATTGTCATTCTAACTGGTATGAGCTGGTATCTCATTGTAGTTTTGATTTGCATTTCTGTAATGACCAGTGATGAGCTTTTTTTCATATGTTTGTTGGCTGCATAAATGTCTTCTTTTGAGAAGTGTCTGTTCATATCCTTTGCCCACTTTTTGATGGGGTTGTTTGTTTTTTTCTTGTAAATTTAAGTTCCTTGTGGATTCTGGATATTAGCCCTTTGTCAGATGGATGGATTGCACAAATTTTCTCCCATTCTGTAGGTTGCCTATTCACTCTGATGATAGTTTCTTTTGCTGTGCAGAAGCTCTTTAGTTTAATTAAATCCTATTTGTCAATGTTGGCTTTTGTTGCAATTACTTTTGGTGTTTTAGTCATGATGTCTTTGCCCATGGCTATGTCCTGAATGGTATTGCCTAGTTTTTCTTCTAAGGCTTTTATGGTTTTAGGTGTTACTTTTAAGTCTTTAATCCATCTTGAGTTAATTTTTGTATAAGGCTTAAGAAAGGGATCCAGTTTCAGTTTTCTGCATATGGCTAGCCAGTTTTCCCAGCACCATTTATTAAATAGGAAATCCTTCCCCTGTTGCTTGCTTTTGTCCTGTTTGTCGAAGATCAGGTGGTTGTAGATATGTGGTGTTATTTCTGAGCACTCTGTTCTGTTCCATTGGTCTATTTATCTGTTTTGGTACCAGTACCATGCTGTTTTGGTTACTGTAGCCTTGCAGTATAGTTTGAAGTCAGGTAGCATCATACCTCCAGCTTTGTTCTTTTTGCTTAGGATTGCCTTAGCTCTATGGGCTCTTTTTTTGTTCCATACGAAATTTAAAGTACTTTCTAATTCTGTGAAGAAAGTTAATGGTAGCTTGATGGGAATAGCATTGAATCTGTAAATTACTTTGGGCAGTATGCACATGCTGTTTTATCTGCCTGTCTCATCTCTTCCCACTGGTTACCTGGTTGAAATCCAGGTCAGTCAGTATCCACTTGGTAAAGCTTTCTGTTTTTGCCCTCAATATCTTCCAACTGGTTACTGACTCCTTACTGCTACCTCTAAATCTTATAAATTTTAAAAGTGTATCACTTAAAATTTTATTCTCTGTTAGATTTTGAGCTCTTTGAAGATACCATTTGAGTCTTATTCGTCTTTTTTTCCACAATACCTAGCATGGTGTCTAGCATATTATAGGAGTCACATCATAGGTTCACAATAAATGTTTCTCATGTTGCTGAATTTGTTGAATTAAATTTATTTGTTCATATTTTTAGTGTCTAGCACAGTGCCCAGCAGATGTTCAATAGATGTTGGTTGGATTTTTTTTTTTTTTTCACAAATAGGGTCTCGCTCTGTTTCCCAGGCTGGAGTGCAGTGGTATGATCTCAGCTCACTGCAACTTCTGCCTCCCAGGTTCAAGCAACTCTTCCACCTCAGCCTAACATGTAGCTGGGAGTACAGGTGCATGTGCCACCATGCCTGTCTAATTTTTTGTAGTTTTGGTAGAGATGGCGTTTCACCATGTTGGCCAGGCTGGTCTCTAACTCCTGACCTCAAGTGATCCACCCGCCTTGGCATCCCAAAATGCTGGGATTACAGGTGTGAGCCACCATGCCCCAGCCTGTTTGTTAGATTTTATCAAACATAAACAGAAACCAAAGATTTTAGTGCTTTCCTCTATTCCCACTTAAAGGTCATCTCCTAAATTTTTTTTTTTTTTTGAGAGGAAGTCTTGGTCTGTTGCTGTCTTTGCTCACTGCAACCTCTGCCTCCTGGGTTCAGATGATTCTTCTGCCTCAGCTTCCCGAATAGCTGGTACTGCAGGCACGTGCCACCACACCCGGCTAATTTTTGTATTTGTAGTAGAGGCGGAGTTTCACTACGTTGGCCAGACTCGTCTCAAACTCCTGACCTTGTGATCCACCTGCCTCGGCCTCCCAAAGTGCTAGGATTATAGGCGTGAGCCACCGCGCCTGGCCCTAAATGTTTACTTGAGCACTACATTAACACCTTTACAGTTTTTTATCCTTTCTGAATTTTCTTAAGATTTTTGGTATTTATATATTGGTTGCGAGAAATAATCACTAAATTAACAATTGGTGAAAACTATGCTTTATTGGACTCAGTTTTTTTCAGATGAAATCTGCTCTTGAGCCCATAGTAAACTTTTCATTTCAGATATACTGTTCAACTCCAGAATTTCCATCTGGTTCGGTTCTCTTCTCTGTTCTCTCTTTTCTCTTTTCGAGATAGAATCTGGTTCTATTGCCCAGGCTGGAGTACAGTGGCATGATCTCGGCTCACTGCAACCTCTGCCTCCTGGGTTCAAGTTATTCTCCTGCCTCAGCCTTCTGAGTAGCTGGTACTACAGGTGCCTGCCGCCATGCCTGTCTAATTTTTGTATTTTTAGTAGAGACATGGTTTCACCATGTTGGCCAGGGTGGTCTTGAACTCCTGACCTTAAATGATCCACCTGCCACAGCCTCTCAAAATGCTGAGATTACAGACATGAACCACTGCACCCGGCCGGTCAATTGATTTTTAACAAAGATGCAAATGTAATTCAGTGGAGAGCAGATATATTTTCATTAAATGATGTTGGCACAATTACACATATTCATATGTAAGAAAATGGACCTTTAATCCTAAGTGAATTAACACAAAAAAGGAAAACAAAAAACCACTTATTTTCACTTATATGTGGGACCTAAATATTTGGTACACATGGACAAAGAGATGGGAACAATAGACACTGGGGATTCCAAAAGTAGATAGGAAAGGAGGCAAGGGTTGAAAAACTACCTGTTTGGTAACCTGGTCACTCACTATTTGGGAGATGGGTTCAATAGAAGCCCAAACCTCAGCATCATGCAATAAATCCTTGAAATGAACGAACTTGGCACATGTACCGTCTGAATCTAAAATTAAAAAAATAAAGAAAATGAAACTTGAGCCATACTTGGTACCGTATGCAAAAATTTACTCAAAACAGATTGTAGATAAATGTAAAACTTATAAAACTTATAGAGAAAATAGAGAAGAAAACCTTTGCAAATCATGTACCTAAGAACTTGTAACCAGGTTATATAAGGAACTCTCAGAACTCAGCATAAGAGAAGGAAATTTTAATGGGCAAAAGACTTCAATTGACATTTTCTCAAAGAGTACATATGGATGGCAGTTAAACATACGAAAAGATGTTCAACATCGTTAGCCATTAGGCAAATGCAAATTAAAACCACAATGAGATGCCAGTGCATCCCTGTAAGAATAGCAGAAAAAACAAAACCTGAAAAAAATGACAATATAAAGTGTTTACAAGGATATCAAGAAACTGGAACTCCCATACATTGCTAGTGGGAATGTAAAGAGGTACAGCCATGTTAGAAAACAGTTTGGCGTTTTTACAATAAAGTTAAATATATACTTATTTTATGTCCTAGCAATCTCACTTCTACATAATCACCCAAGACAAATGTAAAACCAGTACATGAATGTTGACAGTGGCTTTATTCTCTAGTACCTGAACAATGCACATAATAGTCTTTCCATAAATATTGTTGAATAAATGAATGACTTACTATGATAATTATTGAGATTGAGGTTTTTTTATATTTTATTGTCATTAGTCTCTGTGATAGGCAAATGATATTTACTTGATAAGCCTTTTTATCAAATAATATGATTATGACTTCTATGACAATGTATCCCAATGATATGATCAATTCTTTTATTTTATTTTATTTTATTTTTTTATTTTTTTTTTTTTGAGACGGAGTCTCGCTCTGTCCCCCAGGCTGGAGTGCAGTGGCCGGATCTCAGCTCACTGCAAGCTCTGCCTCCCGGGTTTACGCCATTCTCCCGCCTCAGCCTCCCGAGTAGCTGGGACTACAAGCGCCCGCCACCTCGCCCGGCTAGTTTTTTTTTTGTATTTTTTAGTAGAGACGGGGTTTCACCGTGTTAGCCAGGGTGGTCTCGATCTCCTGACCCCGTGATCCGCCTGTCTCGGCCTCCCAAAGTGCTGGGATTACAGGCTTGAGCCACCGCGCCCGGCTGATCAATTCTTTTAAAAAGAAAGGTGGTAGAATATACAAATTTGATTATACAAAGACAGTAACACTGTATGTGGTACAGACCTTTAAGTACTGTATTATATTGAGATTTAGATTAATTTTTAAAAATCTTAAAAGATACATTTGACTTCTCTCTTTTTTTTTTTTTTTTTTTTAATTATTTGTTTTTTAGAATCACTAGAATAACAATGTGTGCTCCGATGCAAAAACTCTGGACCCATTTAAAGATCTATGTTCGAGACTGAAAACTGGCAGCCTTTAAGTGAATTTGATTCTTAGATCTGTTCTCTTTGGCCTGCACAGTATTGGTCAAACAGAATATTTACAAACATCGGATAAGCATTTCACTCATAGCAACCACTAACTGTAATTGGTAGTATCTACACCTTACAGACAAGAAATATGGTCTCCAGTTTGCCACAGTTCCCACTAGTCTCTATTGTTTCCCCAACAGTGAGGCCAAATGTTGGTTGCTGTGTCACTGTGCTTGTGCTTTTGTTTTTCTTATACATAGATCTCTCATTCACTTGTGATACTTCTTGTGCTACAGTCTGTTATTTTATGATAACACACCAAATTTAAAAGATAAAAATGTTAAAAACATCCACCTTATCACTTGTTAACATGGTTATTTTCTTAGTGTCTTCATTGGCTGCTCTGGCATGGAGCTGATATCACACACGTAACAACGAGAGGTTGGGCAGCATCTCACATAGCTGCAATCAGGGGTCAGGATGCTTGTGTACAGGTAATAATACCTTATTACTTTTTTTCAGTAAGCTCAATTACTTTAACATAGTTCTATTGGGCTATTGCTATTATTCTAATTATTTGACTCAATAGATTTAGTTTTATGTTCTAAACAATAACTTACTGGATTCCACAACTCAGATATTCTGATACCAGCTATCCACTTAAATAAATGGCTTGCAACCAGAAATCCTTTTATCTCTGATGTAGTTGGCTATCTGGGGTTGTTTTGTGAGATCTCACAGTCATGACCAGATTATCTCCTTTATAGCTTGCTGCTGTGGTCTGAATGTTTGTGTCCTCCAAAATAAATATGTTGAAATCTTAACCCCAGGGTGATGGTGTTAAGAGGTGAGGCCTTTTGGGAGGTTATTAGGTCATGAGGGGTTTGCCCTCATAAATAGGATTAATGTCCTTATGCAAGAGACCTCAGAGAGCTAGCTCACTAGCCTCTTCCACCATATGAAGATGCTGTGAGAAGGCACTATCCATGCAGAATGAGCCCTCACCAGACAGAATCTGCCAGCACCTTAATCTTGGACTTTCCAGCCTCTAGAACTATGAGAAATAAATTTTTGTTGTTTATATGCTCCCCGGTTTATGATATTTTGTATAGTAGTCTAACAGACTAAGACATTTGGCCATGCCTAAAATTTCATATTTAATGTATTGCCTGACCAGGGTGACACATTAATATATGGTGGGATCTAGTATATTAGAGTAATTGTTATTATTCAGTGTTTTGAAATAGACTGGAATTTGGAGGAATACAGAGTCATATAAGCAAACAGTTGGTATTAGTCCATTCTCACACTGCTATGAAGAAATACCCGAGACTGGGTAATTTATAAAGAAAAAAAGTTTAGTTAACTCACAGTTCCACATGGCTGGGAATGCCTCAGAAAACTTACAGTCATGGTGGAAGGGGAAGCAAACACGTCCTTCTTCACAGGATGGCAGGAAGAGAGAACTGCTGAGCAAAGGGGGAAAAGCTTCTTATAAGACCATCAGATCTCGTGAGAACTCAGTCACTATCATGAGAACAGCATGGGGGTAACCACCCCCTGATTCAGTTACCTCCCACCGTGTCCCTCCCATGACATGTGGAGGTTATGGGAACTACAATTCAAATGAGATTTGAGGGGGGACACAGCCAATCCACATCACAGTTCCTGCCAGGAGGAAGCATGAGATTGTTTGAAGGGTCAGGAGCTCTACTCAGTGAGTTGCAAAACGATACAAAGCAAAATCTATGATTAAAGTTCTAATGAAAAATACAGATGAGAAGAATTGTATAATTTAGGAGGAGGTAGAGGGATCATAAATGGAGGAAATAAAACATCAGTTAAGCCCAAAAGAGTGGGTTGATTTTAAAGATTAAGTAATGAGGAAGTATTATAGAGGCAGGCAATACTTGTTAGGAGCAAATAAAAATAATAATTGTCATTCATTGAAGATTTATTGTGTGTCAGTCAGTCTCTCATGTATCATTTCATCCAACACAAACAGTTCTATGAGTTCGCTTTTATAAAGGTTACAAAACAGATTCAGAGTGGTAAGTACCTTGCCTAAGCAAGTGACAGAGCTAGGATCTGAACCTAGACTTGTCCCATTAATCTCTATGCTATACTTCTGTAAGAAGCTCCTGAATTGGAAAATTGGGCTATGTTCAGAGGATATACCATTATGTTAGTTTGACTGAGTATAGATTATTTATGGTGTGGACTGTTAAGAACCATGCTTGGGTAGACCAGTTTTGTAAAGTGCCTCAGAAATAGAATGAAGATTTTGGATTCATTTTATAGAAAGATAGTTTTTTTCCCCCTCCTCAACCCTGTGATTACCTGGAAAGCAAAGAGAGGTTTTGTTTATGTTTTTGTTGTTTGAGACAGCGTCTTGCTCTGTCGCTCTGGCTGGAGCACAGTGCCCTGGTCATGACTCACTGCAGCATCAACCTGCCGGGTCCAAGCGATCCTCCCACCTCAGCCTCCCAAGTAGCTGAGACCACCAACATGCTTCACCACGTCTGGCTAATTTTTTTTGTAGAGATGTCTGTCAGGGGTTTCTCCCTATGTTGCCTAGGCTGGTCTTGAACTCAAGGGCTCAAGCGATCCTCCTGCCTTGGCCTCCCAAAATGCTGGGATTACAGGCATGAGCCACTGCATCTGGCTGGGAAAAGAGAGTTTTTATATACATTATATGTGTGTGTGTGTGTGTGTGTGTGTGTGAATATGTCTGTATATATATTTATACATACACATAAACATCCACATGAACATTAACAGGGGAATGAGATAATGAAAACAGTATTTCAGGGAATTATTCTAGCAAAATGTGTCCAGGATTACTAGGATGAAGGAAGAGTTTAAAGACAAGAAGGTCAGTTAGAGATTTTTTGCTGTAATCACTAACCAGAGAGGGTAAAAATAGGTGGTGGCAGAGGGAAAGAAAGAAAATGAGCCAAGATACCTTGCAAAGCAAACATTGACAGAGTGTAGTGAAAATTCAAATTTCGAGTCAGAATAACAGATAATTATGATGGAATGAATAGGGAAATCTGAAAAGCAAGGAACACTGGGAAGACAGATGTTTATTTCATTTTGGCATACATTGAGTTTAATGTGTCTGTAGGTCATCCAGGTAGAAGAGGGTCCAGGCGGTTGAAAAGGGGGTTGGAGATAAAGATTACAGGAATGGTGAAGTACAGAAGAGTCTCAAACTCCTGGGCTCAAGTGATCCTTCCACCTCGGCCTCCCAGAGTGTCAGGATTACAGGCATGAGCAACCGCTCCTGGCCGGGACTAATAATTCTTTTAAGCCAATTACTCTGTATATGGTATAACCCATATATAGAAACTGGGCCAATTGCAAATTCAGATGGGACCTCTTTAGATGTACTTAGAAACTTGATTTGGAGCTTAGAACTCGTCACTTTAATTAATTCTTTGATTGAGTCCAAAACCTTGTTAACAAAGGATTCTGCTTTTGAATTAGTGAAGGTTTAAATTTCAGTTTTATTAGGTTAGAATTAAAGAATTTAACTTAGTGGCTATCTGTGCTCATGAAAGATTTGTCTTATAAATTATATATACATGCTCAAATCAAAATGTAAAACCAATATTATAAATGTCTTCTAGGCAATGTTAAAACATTTTCTTGAGGCCAAAGTGGGTGGGAGCACGTGCTGCTGGGAGTTGCTTGGCGGCACGGGGCTGAAGGCTAGCAAACCAAGTGATCATGTTGCACAAACAAATTTACTATTCGGACAAATATGATGATGAGGAGTTTGAGTATCAACATGTCATGCTGCCCACGGACACAGCCAAGCTGGTCCGTAAAACCCATTTGATGTCTGAATCTGAATGGAGGAATCTTGGCATTCAGCAGAGTCAGGGATGGGTCCATTATATGATCCATGAACCAGAATGTCACATCTTGCTGTCTTGGCACCCACTACCCAAGAAGCCAAAGAAAGGAAGCTGGCAAGCTGCTTTTCAGACTCAAGCTTTACACAGCTCTCCTTACTTCCTAACATCTTTCTGATAACATTATTATGTTGCCTTCTTGTTTTTCACTTTGATATTTAAAATATGTTCCATACACTGTTTGAATGTGCTAGTAACTGCTTTGCTTCTTGAGTAGAGCCACCACCACCATAGCCCAGCCAGATGAGTGCTCTGTGGACCCACAGCCTCAGCTGAGTGTGATCCCAGAAGCCACGATGTGCTCTGTATCCAGAACACAGTTGGCAGATGGAGGAAGCATCTGAGTTTGAGACCATGGGTGTTACAGGGATCGTGTAAACTTGTTGTTTTTGTTTTATCCTGCCTGGTGTTTTATCCTGCCAGGCAACTTGTGGATTTATGTTTCAGTGTACTGGAAACTTTCCATTTTATTCGAGAAATCTGTTCATGTTAAAAGCCTTGATTAGAGAGGAAGTTTCTATAATCTTAAAAAACAAAACAAAACATTTTCTTAGTATTAGCTAAGAATTTCTTATGATTTGCTTGTAGCACACATGTGAGAACATACATAATAATTTACCTATAGATTAATAAATTGCCTTTGTATAATCTGCGTCTGCGTTTATGGTTTAACATCTATACTCATGTAAAGTCGTTCCTATTTCTCTATTTTTAGGCTCTTATAATGAATGGAGCAAATCTGACAGCCCAGGATGAGCGGGGATGCACTCCTTTACATCTTGCTGCAACTCACGGACATTCTTTTACTTTACAAATAATGCTCCGAAGTGGAGTGGTGAGTGACTCCTATTAATATGTGCTAATGTATGATAATGTAGATGGAATAGCATTTGGTAGTCTAGTGGTCTCTTCCTGACTTTTTAGATCTCTTTTATGACTAATTTAATTTTTCTCTCTACCTTTTCTATCTTTAAACATAGAAGCAATAATTCAGACAAATCTTTTCTTCTCCCCCAAAAAACAATTTAGTATTACAAAGTACTTGAGAGGTTTTGGGTTCTTCATGCCAGTTCAGAGTTTAACTGGTTAGATTACGAAGCTTCAAACAAATCTTAACCAGGTGGTTGTAAATCTTTATGAATTTTTGTATGTCTACCTATGTGTTTGTTTTGAAACTCTTATTTCATATACTGATTTAGAAAGTGATTTACTTCTTCAGAAATTTTGTTTATTGCAATATTTATCTGTAGTAGTTGTAATAACATAGAAGAAGAGAACTACATATATTGAAGACATTGTGGTGAGAGTTGGTGTTTCTATAGTTTGAGAAAGAGTGAAAACTTATTAAATATTTTTTATTAATTCTGTTTATATTCTCAATGATAGTATTTGATCATTCAATCTATCCCTTTCATTTTATTGGTCAGGAATCTAACTGGTAAGATGACTAGTTAAGTTCCTTTTTAAAAACTATTTTATGTGACTCATTCTTTTGAAAAGCCTGTTTTATAAAATTTTACTAGTATTTTATTAGCTCATATATTCAAATTAGTGGTTGCAGTGCATTTTTCTATTATGTTAAGTGTTTGCCTTCTTGTATTAAGAGCAGCCTCCAATTCTTATTTATAGAATTAAGCTGCTAGGTTTAGTGTTTTCCCTACAAAATAGGGAGAAACTAAGTCCTTGTGAATGTTACCTCTAGGATCCCAGTGTGACCGATAAGAGAGAATGGAGACCTGTACATTATGCAGCTTTTCATGGACGGCTTGGCTGCTTGCAACTTCTTGTTAAATGGGGTTGTAGCATAGAAGATGTGGACTACAATGGAAACCTTCCAGGTATTTTAAATAAAGCAAATGTTTTAGTTTTTCATTGATATAAACTTTTAAATGTTTGATCTTGTTTAAGAAATTTAAACTGTTGGCTGAGCATGGTGGCTTACACCTATAATCTCAGCACTCTGAGAGGCTGAGGCAGGAGGATCACTTGAGGCCAGGAGTTTGAGACCAGCCTGGGCAACATTGTGAGACCCTCTCTCTACAAAAAAAGTGAAAGAAAGAAAAAAGCTGGGTGTTGTGATGTGTGCCTATAGTCTAACTTCTTGGGAGGCTGAGGATTTGGGAGCCCAGGGATTGGAGGCTACAGTGAGCTGTGATTGTACCATTGCACTTCAGTACAACAAAGTGAGACCCCATCTCTTAAAAAATAAAGACATTGAAACCAATTATTCTGTTAGTCCCTCACAAAATGAAGTAGTGTATATGTTGACATGAACACTTTTTATCTTACATCACACCCATCTTATGTACCTTACGTTTGATCGATTTTTTTTCTGGAACCATATCAGCAAAAGATAAATTGGCAAAATTAAACATAGATTTGCTCTTCCTGCCAATTGTTTCCTTCATCTGCTATCTAGTGTTTTTATTTTTTAACTTCACCTCTCTCTGCCTCATAGACAACTTATTTATTTTTAAATTTAAAATTTTTTTTTTTTTTGAGATAGGGTCTTGCTCTGTTGCCCAGGCTGGAGTGGCAGTGGTGTGCTCTCAGCTCACTGCAACCTCTGCCTCCCAGGTTCAAGTGATTCTTATGTCTCAGCGTCCTTTGTAGCTGGGTTTCAGGCACCTGCCACCATGCCTGGCTACTTTTTGTATTTTTAGTAGAGAGGGAGTGTCACCATGTTGGCTAGGCTGGTCTCGAACTCCTGGCCTCAAGAGATCTGCTTGCCTCGGCTTCCCAAAGTGCTGGAATTGCAGGCAGGAGCCACTGCACCTGGCCCAACTTTTTCATTTTTTAAACAGTACTGCATAAGTGGAGGATACTAGTTAATTTGCTACTTCAGTTGTCTAACCTACAGTAAAGTGGCCAGTGGAGACCTAGACTCCACCTTCTTTAAAAAGTGGTCTAGAAATTCTGAAGGATAGATCACAGTGAGATTGGAGTGAAAATGATACTTAAATGATACTTTAAAGAAGGAAACATAGAAAGAGGAAGGGCAGAATAATATGAACAGGACTGATCAAATCACTTTGCCATTTAGAACCTCCCTGGATCCCTGTGGAGCCTCTGATTCCTTGGCTTGGCATGCTGGACTTACATAATTTGGCTCCTACCTACCTGCATGGCCTCATCTTTCTATATCTTTACATTACTGTCCATGATCATTTTGCTTTTTTCTGAAGTTCATCTTTCAGTGTTCATTTAGTGAAGTCTTTTGGTATGAACTTTTCAATTTTTGTGTATCTGAAAATTTATTTTGTTCTCATTCTTTTTACTTTGTATTTTGTAAGGTTTTTTTTTGTTTTGTTTAAAGTAAAATTTAAATTAAAGTCTCAAAAAACAAAAAGCCCCTCTCTCGGCAGTGCGTACAGAGGTGGCAGCCATCTCCTCCTCGGCATCATGGCCACCCTTAGACCCCTTGTAAAGCCCAAGATCGTCAAAAAGAGAACTAAGAAGTTCATCTGGCACCAGACTGACCGATATGTCAGAATTAAGTGTAACTGGCAGAAACTCAGAGGTATAGACAACAGGGTTCATAGAAGGTTCAAGGGTCGATCTTGATGCCCCAACATTGGTTGTGGGAGCAACAAAAAAAAACAAAGCACATGCTGCCCAGTGGCTTCTGGAAGTTCCTGGTCCACAACGTCAAGGAGCTGGAAGTGCTGCTGATGTACAACAAATCTTACTGTGCTGAGATGTTTCCTCCAAGAACCGCAAAGCCATCGTGGAATGAGCTGCCCAGCTGGCCATCATAGTCACCAACCCCAATGCCAGGCTGCGCAGTGAAGAAAATGAGTAGCTACCTCATGGGCATGCTTTATGTTTAAATAAAACTGTAAAAACTGCAAAGAAAACCCAAAACACCAAAAACCAAAAAAAAAATTCTTTTGTGCTAGGCTTCCTTCACTTTTTCAGACTGCTTTCAATTGCTCCATTTTCGCATATGGTATTATTTATGGTATTATTAGTTTTCTTTAGTTTTAGTCTTTCTGATGGATGTATCTCATTGCAGTTTCAAATTTACATTTTTCCTGATGACTAAAAATGTCAAACATCATTTCATATTTTTAATGGCTATTTAGTTATTTTTTTTTGTGAAGTAGGAGTTCAGATCTTTTGCCTATTAGCTATTGGAGTATGTCTTTTTCTTATTGAGTCGTAGGAGTTCTTTATATATTCTAGATACAAGCCCTTTGTCAGTTATGTTTATTACCAATATCTTTTCATGCAAATATCTTTCTAATCTTTCTACTCTATGGCTTGCTTTTTCATTCTTTGGTATTTTTTGATAAATAGAGGTTTTAATTTTTTTTTTTTTAATGGAATCTTGCTCTGTTGCACAGGCTGGAGTGCAGTGGCACAGTCTTGGCTCACTGCAACCTCTGCCTCCTGGGTTCAAGCAATTCTCCTGCCTCAGCCTCCCGAGTAGCTGGGATTACAGGCATGCGCCACCACACCTGGCTAATTTTTATATTTTTAGTAGAAACAGAGTTTCACCATGTTGGCCAGGCTGGTCTCGAACTCCCGACATTGTGATCCACCCACCTTGGCCTCCCAAAGTGCTGGGATTACAGGTGTGAGCCACCACACTTGGCCAGAGGTTTTAATTTTAATGTAATCCATTTTAATAATCTCTTCCTTTGTAGTTAGTGCTTTTTGTACTTTCCCTATTCTGTGATCATGAAGACATTCCTTTATGTTATCTTTTAGAAATGTTATTATCTTACTTTCACATTTATATTCCCAATCCTCCTAGAACTGACTTTTCTGTGTGTAATACAAGGTAGGGGTCAGTTTTATTTTTGTATTGTCCTTTATCAAGTATACTTGATCATTTTTGTTAGTCTTGTCTGGTCATTAAAAAATCCAATTGTTTCTTTAAACAGGTATAATTCTTTTATTTATAACCAGTAGAGTATTTATAATAATATAGATGTTAAGAAAGAATGTGGCCTTAGGTCTAGACTGCTTGTGTTCAAATCACTCTCATAAAATTATTTTTTATTGATAAGTGTACATATTTTTGGTGTACGTGTAATAATTTGATACATTCATGTAATGTATAAAGATCAAATCAAGGTAATATGGGTAGCCATCCCTTAAATAGTTCTTTTCTTTATGCTAGAAACATTCGAATTATTTTTTTCTAGTTATTTTGAAATACACGATAGACTATGGTTAACTATAATCACCTTACTGATCTGTCAAACACTAGATCTTATTTCTTCTACTGAATTTTATATTTGTACCCATTAATCAACTCTGTTCTTCCTCTCTCCATGCTACCCTTCTGGCCTTTGATAACCACCAATCAATTTACTCTCTATCTTCATGAAACCAGCATATTTTAGCTCCCACATATGAATGAAAACATATAATAGTTGTCTTTCTGTGCTTGACTTATTTTACTTAACATGATGACCTCCAGTTCCATCTATCTTGTGGCAGTGAGAGTATTTCATTCATTTTTGTCTGAATCATATTCCATTGTGAATATACATTACATTTTCTTTATTCATTCATCATTGATGTACACTTATGTTGATTCCATATTTTGGCTATTGTGAATAGTGTATTAATAAATATGAGAGTGCAGCTATCTCTTTGATATAATGACATTTTTTTCTTGTGGATATATACACAGTAGTGGAATTAACTTATAGTTTATATAATATAAATCTAGCTACTCTTGTTTGTTTTTTTCTTCTAGTTGCATGGAATATCTTTTCCATTCCTTCACTTTCAGTCGATGTGTATCTTTATAGATGAAGTGGGTTTTTTGTAGGCAGCATGTAGTTGGGTCATGTTTCTTTATACTCTGTGCCTTTTAATTGGAGAGTTAAGTCTATGTACATTCAGTGTTGTTATTGGTAGGTAAAGACTTACAGCTGCCATTTTGTTGCTTGTTTTCTGGTTGTTTTATAACTCCTATGTTCCTTTCTTCTTGTCTTTCTTTGTGGTTAAGTGATTTTCTCTGGTAGTATGTTTTATTTTTTTGCTTTTTATTTTTTAGTAAATATAGGTTTTACATTGTAGTTACCATGAGTCTTACATTTTATAGATATAACAGATTATTTTAAAGAGATGACAACTTACCTTAGGTCACAAAGAAAGGAATAGAAACAAGGAAAAACCAAAATGCCCTACATGTTAACTGTTTCTCCCACATTTTGCCTTTTTGTTGTCTCTATTTACATATTTTTGAGGTTTTTTGTTTGTTTTTTTGAGATGGAGTCTCGCTCTGTTACCCAGCCTGGAGTGCAGTGGTGCGATCTTGGCTCACTGCAACCTTCTCCTCCTGGGTTCCAGAGATTCTCCTGCCTCAGCCTCCCAAGTAGCTGGGTTACAGGCGCCCACCCCCATGCCTGGCTAATTTTTGTATTTTTCATAGAGATGGGGTTTCACCATGTTGGCCAGGCTGGTCTCGAACTCTTGACCTCAAGTGATCCACTCTCCTCGGCCACTCAAAGTGCTAGGATTACAGGTGTGAGCCACTGCGCCCCACCTATTTATATATTTTTGTATTTCCTATCTCTTAACAGATTGCTATAGCTATTATTGTTTTTGTTAGATTTGTCTTTTAGTCTTCATACTGGAGTTATCACACACCACAGTTACATTATTGGAGTATTCTAGGGTTGTCCATGTTTTTAATTTCACCAGTGATTTTTATACCTTCAAATGTTTTCCATTTGCACATTAGTGTTTCTTCTTCCTGATTGAAGAACTCCCTTTAACGTTTCTTATAAGATGGTTCTGGTGATCGTAAACTCTCTCAGGTTTTGTTGGTCTGGGAAAGGCTTTCTTGTTCTTCTTTTTTTTTTTTTTGGTGTTA